ATAGCTGCCATTCTGACTAGAGTGAGATGAAAAAGAGTAGTTTTGATTTGCATTTCTCTAATTGCTAGAGATGTTGAACATTTTTTCATATATTTGTTGATTGATTGTATATCACCTTCTGAGAAGTATCTGTTCAGTCCCTTGGCCCATTTGTTGATTGGGTTATTATTTTTTTGTTGTTTAGCTTTTTGAGTTCTTTATATACCCTAAAGATTAGTGCTCTATCTGATATACAAGTAGTAAAAATTTGCTCCCAAGCTGTAGGTTCTCCATTCACCTCACTGATTGTTTCTTTTGCTAAGACAGTTTCATGATCTATAATAGAGTGAAGGAAAAAAAAAAAATGAGAAGCCAGTCAGGAAACTTTTTTTCCCTTTGTACTGATGATTGAACCCATGGCAATCTACCACTGAGCTACGTCCTCAGCTCTTTTTATTCTGAGACAAGTCTTGCTAAATTGCTGAGGCTGGCCTTGAACTTATGATCTTGATGCTTAGAGTTGCTGGACTACAGGCCTGTGCCATAGCACCTGGCTTATAACTTTTTCATTAATTTTTAAAAATATAGATGGACACAATGCCTTTATTTTATTTATTTATTTATTTTAATGTGGTGCTCAGGATTAAACCCAGTGCCTCACATGTAAGGCAAGTGCTCTATCACTGAACTACAATCCCAGCCCCTTATGTTTAACTTTTTGAGGATGCACCAAACTGTTTTCTATAGTGGCTGAACAATTTTATATTACCATCAGCAATGTATGAGAGTTCCAATTTCTCTACATCCTCACCAATGGTTGTTATTTTCAACTATGATTGTGTTTTTTATTATAGCCATCCAAGTAGGTATGAAATGGTATGGTCAATAATCTTTTGACAAAGGAAAAATGAAAATTTTTACAAGCCTGAATAAACCTTCATTAAAGCTAGGCACAGCAGTACACACCTATGATCCCAGCAACTTGGTGGGCTGAGGTAGCAAGATCTGAAGTTTGAGGCCAGCTCAGCAACTTAGTGAGACCGTCTCAAAATGAAAAATGAAAAGGGCCAGGGATATCTAGAGATAGAGTGCTCCTGGGTTAAATCCCCAGTACACAAATACAAAATAAATATTCAAGAAAATGTAAAATGCAAATTTTCTTTTGACATATTTTCTTGAAGGTGTGTTAATCTCTGAAAATATATAAACATGTGCTTTCCCTATGCTTTTCCTAGCAATAATACAAAATATAAAATTGAGACCTAAGGTGAAGTTTGAGTAGATGAAGAGTGCTACAGAACTCTTTCTGACCAAAGAAGAGCACTGACTTCTTGCCCATTATTATTTCCTAGCTCAAATATAAAAATGATAAATATTTAATATCCTAGCCCAAAATAAGGTAAGCACAGAAATAATGAAATAAGGTACTACCACCTTTAATATTTCACATTACACTCTTTGACTTCAGGGATTACAGCAATGGATTCTTTGACAATAAACAGAGATGGGAATAGGTGACATAGTTAAATTAAAAACCCATGGCTCTGCTGTACAATGTATAAGTATACAGAATATCCCACAAGGGCCAAAATAGCTATTCTTAAAGGCATGGCTTGCCTTTAACAGAAATATATGTAAACTAGGAAAGACAATCTACAAGTGTATCTTGATTAAAAGAGGCCTTGCCAATCAATACTAGGATTGTTTGACAACCTGGTTTTTATGCACCTGGGGAATGAATCATAGCAAGATGAAGGGTGGGTGAGGTCAGGAGTATAGATTGAGAAAGGAGGGGAAGAAAACTGCCTCAACTGCCTTTTCAGGAAGGTAAGTTTTAAGAAAGAATACATGTAGATGAGAAATGATAACTGATTCCTTTTGAAATTTCATTTTCCACATATTCCCTGGAAAATCTTCCTGTGTTCATTCTCCAATTTGAAAACTGCTGAAATATGTAATGCTAGTTCTTCATCCCTTTAATCCTCAGTGATTGCCCATCACTGATGGCCTATAAATCCCTACAACTCTCATGGTCTGTTCTTCATTTAGGAATCAGTTTCTCCTTAAGTGACTACAAAGCAATCAGCTTTATTTTCATGTGTGGCTGCTGGAATTTATCTCATTTTATACTACTGCACTCATACTTCATGCCAGGTAGTACAATAGCATTTCAGGAAAAGAGGGTAATGAAAGTTTTAAACCATTTAGAATAAGAATTTTGATTTTTTAAAAAAGGAGGAATACATTTTAGGGAAGAGCATATGTTTATTAGGCTATAAGTTCAGCTGTTGAAACCAAAATTGTTTAAACAAGCCCCTTTGGCCTTCTTTCCCTTCCTTAACATGCTTACCTTGTTCTCACCTGAGGGTTGTTGTACCTGTTCTTCTGCTGGAATGCTTTTCACCAGGTCTGTCCTGACTGGCTCCTGCTTGTCATTCAGAACTCACCAGGTCATCTCCTCAGGAAGGCTTTCCTTGACCATGCAAAAGTAGCCACCCAGTCATATTTTACCACATAATAGTGCTTGTCTTAGCCTGCATGAAGCCCTAAGTCCCATTCCCAGCACAGCCAACAACAACAACAAAAAAGTATGCAGAAAGGAATGGGGTGCCAATGAGGAAACCAGGTTTGACATGGCAAAGTTCCTCAAGGTGGGGGGTAGAGACAGATAAGAAGCATCAAATCTTTATGAATGTCCCACCTAAGTGGTTAGAGAAGTGTAAAAGACCTTATAAGGAATCTAAAAGGTTGAATAGAGTGGTTCCTGAGGATAGGAAAAAGTTTCAGTGAAGGATGGGTCAACGGGGAGCAAGTGTTCTCTCTCAGGAAAAATGGGAATAAGAAAAAGGCAATTGAATCTAGAAAGATTATTTGTGACCACTGAATAAAGGAGTGAAAATGTAAAGCTTAAGGAAAGGACAGAGTATGTATAGGTCATTGCTGGAGGAATTTGGCAGTAAAGGGAATTTGTAAATACTCTAGTGGGATTGAATGGGTTTCTTTTTGTGAGACCTATTCATGTCTTAAGGGAAATGAGCTATAGAACAGAGAAGACTGAACCGTGCTGTAGCTCGAAATTAATGGACCTCTAGGGAGTGCAAGAGTCACCTTCTGGGACTTTGAAACTCAGAATTATATGCAAAATTTTGTGCACGCATCAGGGGTTATAGATTTGTAGCGTTACCATTTTCCAAAAGATGGTGACCCAAAGGTTACTAACCACTACTGTACAGGAAGAGAACAGGCGAGTTGCGGGGGCGAGGGGGGCGCCCAGAGAAACCTAAGCTTTAAGAGAAAATGGAAGACCTCTTCCTGATCTAAGGAAATGCTATAAACAGATGGAAGGTTAGTTCATAATTACTTCATCATCTCATTAAAATAGGTAGTAAAGACTGAGCTGGAAACTGGGGAAACTTGTGCAAACACGCTCCAGCAAAGGAATACTGAGGAAGCCGGGCAGACGGAGTGAAAACGGGGCCTGCTGGTCTAGAGTTGTTTCCTTGCGCCTTAGTGCAGCACAAGCCTCTGTGCAACTTCTTGGCGCTGGAGTAGTCCTGAGGGCTGGGCATCACTAACTTCGTTCTACAACCAGTACACGCCACTCTCAAGACTAGCCGACCCCGACTGGGAGCAAGAGCAGTCTTATCACAAAAGGCAATCAACACGGTCCCTGAGGTTTGTCAGTGAGTCAGCTCGAGGGCAAGAAGCTGATGTTTCAGACTCGGTACAAGCTGTATGTCCGAACTTCCCCATAATTGCCATACTTTCTTTGCTTTAAACGCTGCCTCCAGTCGACCTCTCCACCTGTCATCATCTCTGAATCATCCCGCCCTATTTCGACATCTCCTTCCCCAGCCTTCGGCTCTCGGCCTGGCGCAGAGCCCAGCCACTGCCGAGGCCCTGGAGAATTCATTCATTCAACCACTGCAGGGTTTACTGAGACTCTGTGTGTAAGGCTCAGTGCTAGAGATTGGGGTCTCGGACCCAACGGGTTATCCAGACCCTTCACCCCCGCGGCCGGACAGTCCAGAATCGACCCAGGCCTAACGGGCCGCCGCGGTCTTCCCTGGCAGTGGGGAGGGCCCCTGCCCACATGTCGCAATAACTTCCCAGACGAGCACGCCGGCACTGCCAGGGTGATGCAGGGTACAGGCTGGCTCCGCCTCCCGCCCTCCACAAGATCCCGCGGGAACAGAGCTCTCGGTGCCGGGAACGCACGTCTAGGAGCTGCGCGTCTGGGCACTCGGGTCGCGCGCTCGAGCGCCTACCCTAACGGCACCCGTCAGCGGTTGGACCTTGAAGGCCTGGCACCGCCCCCACCCTACGTTCCCGCCCGCAGTGCTTGCAGCCCCTTAGGTGCCAGTCTGGGCCCCAAAGTCGGTCCCTATCCTCTCCCAGCGCTTCGCTCTCTTTCTTTAGCCAATCGGAGACAGAAGTGGTGCGAGCCAATGGCCACAGCCAAAGTATCTAGAGTGGTGGAGCCTATCAAAGTTCTACCTTAAGTTTCTCCCGCCCCTGAAAAGCCAGAGGCGGGCTGATCTTACATGTCGGCCAATCAGTGACCAATAAACAAGAAGCTTCCAAGATCAAAGGGGAAGGGGTGGGATCTAGGCGGCAGCAACGCCTCGGGGAAGAGGAATGACAGGCAACTTCGCGAATACCCCGGACATATTTCCCCTACGTGAGAAAGGGGTGGGGCTAGGGTGGCGCCTTCACCAATGGTTGGTTGGGGGGCGTATCCGCGGGCCAAGCGGGAGCCGGAGGCCCGGGGCTCTCTGGGCCGCGCCTGAGGCGGAGGCAACGGGGCCGGGGGGCGGCGGCAGTAGTGGCGGCAGCGGCGCCGGTGTGCGCCGCGGCTGGCCCGGGTGGATGGAGTTGGAGGGGCGGAGTGCAGGCGGTGTGGCGGGGGGGCCGGCGGCTGGGCCCGGGCGGAGCCCCGGGGAGTCTGCACTGCTGGACGGGTGGCTGCAGCGGGGCGTGGGACGGGGGGCCGGCGGTGGGGAGGCCGGGGCCTGCAGGCCCCCAGTACGGCAGGATCCGGACTCCGGCCCGGACTACGAGGCGCTGCCGGCTGGAGCCACTGTCACCACGCACATGGTGGCGGGCGCCGTGGCAGGGATCCTGGAGCATTGCGTGATGTACCCCATCGACTGCGTCAAGGTGAGACCTGGACCGGGCTCGGAACCCGACCTGGGGCTGACCCACCTTAGTTCCGTCTAGAGCCAGGATCCTAGCTGAGAGCTGGAGTCGACGGGGTTCCTTCTTGGCTCCAGGCACTTCACACGATTCGAACCGGTACTCCGTGCAAGCAAGGTCCGGGCTGGGAGTTGAGCCCACTCAGGAGCCAGGACTTATTTCTAGCCGTCAGTGAGATCTGAATCGGGACTCATGATCAAAAAATCTGTCAGCCAAAGTCGGAGATCCCACCTGGGACTAAACAGGAATAGGGTGGGATTGGGGATCCCGAAGCACAGGTAAGTGCTACTAACTCGATTAAGGTGAAGCCAACTGGCGTGAATCAGATGGTTAACTGGATCTGATGGCTTGAGATGTTCTTCGGGTAGGTGCTTTTACCAGCTTCGTGCTGTGTCTTTCCTTAGAAGTGACTAGGCAGGAACCGGAATCTGGGATCTCTCAGTTAGATAAAGGACGTATTAAATCTTATCCCGTGAGTGATTGGAAGTCGTTGTGCAGTCAGAAGGCAGAGTTTCAGACTGAAAGTAATATGGGAAAGATCGTGTTCAGGAAAAGGTTTCGATTTCTCTATGAAGCAAGCATGATATCCCACCCATTTCCTGAACATGAAAATTGAACTGGGATTAAGATTGTGTATGTGCAGGGAGCACATCGGCCCCCACACAAGAGAGGAAACTTAGTGTATTTCTTTGGGCGCCTGAAGTTGACAAAAAGGGGAAAGTTGCCTAGAAGGGAAGTGTGACGGTATTAGAAAGTAGATGTAAGTGTGAAGAACATGGAACAAGATCGACACAATTAGTGTGAAAGTAAAACTAATTACATCCACAACCAAGCAGGACGATTAATGGATCCAGAAGTGAGGTCCTTCTGATGAAAGCCGAGTCTCCCTTCTGAAGATGGGAAAGATTGTTTTTACAGTTTTTATTCTCCACCCTTAGTAAAGATGCCAACCACTAAACTTGAGGTCTAAATTGAGGGGGAAGTAAATCCGAGGAGACTGTTGAAAAAAATATGATTGAGCCTTGTGCTTCCTTTACATGTTAAGGATAATAGTCAACAATATCCTGGCAGTTCTTTGTATGTTTTCTCCTCAAATTAGGAAAATGTTGTGTATTCAAAAGGAGGAGAGTGTCAATTTGGGCAATGCAAAGCAACCCTTTTCTGCTTGCTGCTGATTCCAGTTACCATTTCATGTTTTCATGGTAATATGGATGAAGAAATAGGGAAAGAGCTCATGAAGCTTTGTGAATGACACTGAGTTGGTTCTAGTGCATTGCAGGGTTAACTCCTAACAAGGACCATAGCCACTGAAAATGTGGTTAAATGCACTTAACATGATTAGAATTTTAAATGCCCTTGTGGATTGAGAGAAATAAACCAGTAAATTCCATGAGAAAGAAATATAACCATTGAAATGTAAAATGAATAAATACTAATAAAAAAGATCCAACATTTATGTAGTGGACTCTAGGTTGAATGGGAGTTGACAAAAAGGGGAAAGTTGGATATGCTACATATCCAAAAGTTAATATGATCTGGCTGTAGAGTAACCTCATTCTACTCAATCATGAGTAGAGTGCAGGATTTATGATGCTATTTCAGGATGAGTATCAAATGGGAAACAGATAAGTGAAAGCAATGAAAATTATTTAATGGCTTGAAAAATACAGTGTAATAATGTGACAAAAATATTACTACAGCTTTCATCGTTATGCCATTACAACATAATGGGAGACTGTCTCCTTACACTGTATATTTTCATAATGCTATTGTTGCTTTGAACATTTTATAAATTCCCCTGTTAGAAATGCCTCCAGAATCTTTGTATGCATATCTTTAAAGATGGAAAATCTTTTTTCTATATACACACACACACACATACACATCTCAAAAGACTGATTTAGGGGCTGGGGCTGTAGCTCAGTGGCAGAGCACTTGCCTAGTGTGTGTGAGGCACTGAGTTTGATCCTTAGCACCACATGAAAATAAATAAAGGCATTCTGTCCATACACAACTACAGTTTTTTAAAATAATTGATTTAGTAGAAACAGAGACCACTCAAAATCATATACTATGAATAGGTGAGAGCTCACAATGGGAAGTACCTCTTGGGGTACTTAAAGATTAGGTGGAGCTGGAAAGCCAGGAGATTGATTTACTCCTTGAGACCTGTGTACCCACTGAAGGAATAGTTGTGAAAGAGGAGTTCGAGAAACGCTTTGCATAACCACAGCAATACTGGAATAAGTCATTTCTAGCCTTCCATGGCAGCTACTTGGAAGAATAGTTCTTATTCATTTAGATGAACTTTGGAATTTTTGTTTTTGAAAAATTAGTCATGCAGGGATGGGGATGTAGCTCAGTTGAAGAACCCTTGCCTAATTTGCACAAGGCCCAGGGTTCAATCCCCAACAACGCAAAAAAGAAAAAATTAGTCATGCAACATTATAGTCACGCCTCAAAACCGTACATCAAGGAAGTAATAATTTGATCTGAATGAAAAATATTCAGGAGTCTTCAAAAATACCAAGTCTTGTCTTAGAAGAATAATTTTCATTTGCCATTAATACTGGGATTTAAATGATTACAGGGGAGACCAATATGAGTTAGTGTCCACATGTCAAATGCTGTTGTGCTTGCATGAAAGTAAAATTCAAATCCCGGCCTGCCCCATTCATAGTGCATGGTGGAGAGGAAAAGCAGGTCAATTTTACCACAAGACTGGAGGCAGGTATCCATGTTGCAGTCAGGAGGGCAACCACAGTGTTTGCAAATGAAAGCTAGTGTTGCTTCTTGGCATGCAAACCTGTGTATCCCCACTCACTTATCAGGGTCAAGTTGACTTAAAATATCCTTGGGAGGGACTATGGGAAGTCAACACAGCCTTGCTAGACCATAGCTATCCATTCATCTATTTCTGTGGTCATAATAGGGAGATTTTGGAACCCAGATAAATCCAAGTTTCCTTTTCTAGGCCTCAGAAGCAAGCATCAGACTTTATCTATAGGGATAGGCTCTGCAACCCAAAGCAGTGAGAACCCTTCTCAGAACCATCTGGCTAAGTCCCCACCTGCTTCCAAGGTACTGTTTTTGGTTCTGCAGTGGTGAAACAAGTTATCAACTTACATAACAAAGAGGGAAAGAGCAGAGGGAGAGAAATCTTTTCCATTCTAGATGTAAATTGATATCTATACACCAGTGAAAGGTTAAGAAATAGAAACAATGACATTTGATTTTCTTGCGTCTAATACTGATTAGTTAAGCGTTCAATAAATGCAAATTGCTTGTGTGCCAAATACTATCTCTTGTGTCCCACATACATTTAATCTTTGAAACAACTTCATGAAGTAGACACCATTTTCATTATTTTATAGATGAAGAAAGGAGGCTTAGAGGGCAGTTAAGTAACTTGTCCAACATGGTAGAATGTAAGAGGCAGGGACATCATTTGAAGCCAGTCTGTGTGACTCACAAACCTCCCTTATAGCCTCTCAAAAGCAGATTTAAAGACCCAAGCAAAGCAAACAATCTCACAATAGAGCTCATCTCTGAATACGTGACCTTCAGATTAGCAGCTGAACACGTTAGCCATTATAGCCACATAGAAACTTTAAAATAAACTTTTAAAAATGCAGAATTAAACCAGACTTATTAGGTTTAGGACCAATTGTCAATGCCTATTTCTGAAAGCTTTATACAAGAAACAATGCTGCCATAATCTGTAAATTCTTGGATATAAGTAAATATACTTTAGCATATTACTTTAAAATAATAAAAAGCCTTTACACACACATTGTGAAAATTACCAGTGGTTTACATGTCTTATTTTTTTAAATTCCTCCAGCAGTCCAAAGAGCCAGCCATTCTTGGCCTTGTGTTACAAATGACAGTTTTGAAGCTCAGAAAAAAAGGTTAATACTTGGGACAACACATCTGGCAAATTGGGACTCAAACTCAGGCTTGCTTTTTTTTTTTTTGTACTAGGGATTGAACTCAAGGGTGCTTAACCACTGAGCCACATCCCCAGCCCATTTTTGTTTGAGACAGGGTCTCACTAAGTTGCTTAGATCCTCAGTAAGTTGCTGAAGCTGGCTTTGAATTCATTATTCTCCCGCCTCAGCCTCCCAAGCTGCTGGGATTCCAGATGTGTACCACCACACCCTGCCAAACTCAAGCTTTTGGACTCAAATCATTTCTTGTCTTTTACCAACCACTTAGCTTCCTACTAGTTTGTTTTTCTTCAAAGCAAAGCATTCATAAATTCTTAAGAGATTTTAATCTTTCTAAGAAAAGTAGATTTACTGGCCCCCAAATTTGGGCATCCATATTCATTTTTATATTTAGCATAGCTTATACCCAGGTCCTCTCCTTAAGGGAGAAGCATTGAGTAGAACCATTGTGTTAGATCTAGATGTGTACGTAAAATGTTCAGTGTAACTTGCCCACAGTCTAGTTTTCCTCTGTCTCTCACCTGGGTATTGAACCCAGGGCCTAGCATGTGCTTGGTAAGAAGTCTACCACTGAGCTGCACTCCCTGTCTTTTAGTTTTGTTTTTTTTTTTTAATCTTTATTTTTACTTATTTATTCTTATGTGGTGCTCAGGATCAAACCCAGGGCCTCACACGTGCAAGATAAGCGCTCTACCATTGAGCTACAATCCCAGCCCCAGCATTTTGTTTTGAGACAGAATCTAAATTGCCCAGACTGGCCTTGAACTTGTGATCCTCCTGCCTCAGTCTCCCAAGTTGCTGCATTTGCAGGCATTCACCTCCTGGCCTGGCCCAGGTTTTTTTTTTTTTTTTTGGGGGGGGGGGGCGTAAAGAGTTCCAGGTTTCTGAGATCAGACCTTTCAGGACTGGCTGCCAAATAAGCCAATGACTGAAGCAGAGCAATGTGATTTCTAAATGTCCCTCCTGTACAAGGTCAGTTTTACACAAATTTTTGGAAACACATAATTGTTAAGCTGCCAGGCCAATTTTAAAATACACCTTTGAATAAAGCACACCCTTTATTGGAGATTCATGGGGTCTTTTGGGGAAGTGGGAAAGAATGTGTCCTTTGTGATATCTGTATTTCTGATTGAACACCAGTAATTAGCCTTTTTTTAAAAAAATATTTTTAGTTGTTGATAGATCTTTATTTATTACTTTATATGTGGTGCTGAGAATTGAACCCAGTGCCACACACATGCTAGGCAAGCGCTCTACCACTGAGCCACAACCCCAGCCCTAACCTTTGAAGTGTGAAGTTTTTTTGTTGTTGTCTGTTTTGTTGTTGGTGGTGATGACAATAGGAGGCAGGAAAAAATAACTCCAGGAATGTGGTTTACTTGTGGCTAACCAGGACCTGTTAATCTGGTTAATTTCTTTTTCCCATGCTCTTGAGAAAAGGCATTACTCTTGGATTCCAGATGACTAACAGGAAACTTCAAGCTTTTAAATCCAGACTGAATCTAGTGATTGGAATGAAGCAAGATTTTTAAATTGTACTTGGACATCAGTTACCCCTTGTTGGTTCACCAGTGGCTATACTCATTACTTTCTGACCTGGTGCAGACATGGCTATGTGACAAAAAGATTCATTCATTCAGCAAACAAATCATAAGTGCATTCTGTATGTCAGGCACTAGACATTAATTTTATTAACTTATTTTGAGGTACTGGGAATTGAACCCAGAGGTATACTACCAACCACTCAGTTATATTCTTAACCTTTTTAATTTTTTTTCTTTTTCTTTTTTTTTAATTTTCAGACAGTATCTCACTAAGTTGCCCAGGCTAGCATTGAACTTGGATCCTCCTGCCTCAGCCTCCTGAGTTACATACACGTGCCACCATACCCAGCTAGACTGATTTTAAACTGTTAGTCTCCGTGCTACTTTAACCTGGAATGGTTCATAGACAAAAGAGATTTTTGTGGGAAGGCACACAATTCAGAGAAGGTCTGATTTGAGGGAGTGTTTCAGATGAGATTAATTGCCAAAATTTCAATAAAACTGTCCAAGAACATTATGCAAGTGTTTATAATACACTTTTCATTCCAATCATTGAATCTTTTTAGAAATTCCAATGATTGTGTCACAGAAACCGATTTGTATTTGCTGATGCCGATTTGGGGATTCAGTCAATTTAGATCAGAAATCTGAAAGACTCTTGAGTTTTAGAGACTAGGTTGGCGTCCTGCTAGACTCTCCCCACTTTCATAGTTTCAGGGCAGAATCCAGAAGGTTGGAGGTTGGGTGGAATTAAAGGAAGAGATAATAGCCCAGGGAGTTGCAGCAGCCTCTGTTAGGAATACTCATTCTGCCAAGACTAACTTGTACACCCAGTTGCCCATGCCAAATAGTCTGAAAAGGTATCAAAAGATGAGCACCCATCTCATTAATCAGTGTGTTGGGGTCAATAAGCAGCGCCAGGATAGGTCTTTAGAAATAAATGCAGTAAATACTTGAATTTAGAATTCATTTGTAAAACTGTTAGCCTGAATTTATTAAGGCACAAAAACAACTGCTGAATCAGAGGCTTGATATTTATTGCTGGGGCAATGAATCACCTTGGAGTTCTGGGAAATTACCAAGTGGCCATGTCCTTGGGGAAAGCCATGATGTTCCACTCTTGGGGTCATCAATTACTAGAAGAGGAAAGGTTCAAGACTTGGAGAGATGGGACACAGATTTGGAAAGAAGTAAAGCAGGGAGCTATGTATTGCCTCCACAAATTGGCATGGTTGCCTGTAGAAGACCAGCTCAGTGCCCAAAGCCTGGGTGTTGATGTGGGGCAGGATGTTGGCCTCGCTGACATTGCACTTCTCCTTGCTGTAATTTCAGACCCGGATGCAGAGTCTACAGCCTGACCCAGCTGCCCGTTATCGAAATGTGTTGGAGGCCCTCAGGAGGATTATAAGAACGGAGGGCCTCTGGAGGCCCATGCGGGGGCTGAACGTCACAGCAACAGGCGCAGGCCCTGCTCACGCCCTCTATTTTGCCTGCTACGAAAAGTTGAAAAAGACATTGAGTGATATAATCCATCCAGGGGGCAATAGCCATATTGCCAATGGTATTGAGCCTTCATGTGCCGGTTCCCCCATTTTCCCAACTCTTTGCACTTTGCCGCTTCAGTGCTTTCCAGAATCAGCTTGGTTTGGAGCTGCAGCTTTGGGCTGGGGTAGGCCAGATTATAGGGGAGGGACTTCTAAACCTGATGTTCTCAGACAACTGGCTGCTGCAACCCCACCCCTCCTCTGGGGCACCTCAACAAAGGGTTACAGCATCCTCCCTTACCTACCAGCTTGACTTTTTCCTCTCATCTTCTCCCTGGCATCAACTTCTAATGCCTGGTATGGAGACACACACTGAACTACCCCTACTGTATACTTCTTGATAGTTGGGTGGTGTATTGCTCCTCAGGACGGGATTGGAGGTGGAGGTGACCCAGCTACCCAAGGAAGACACTAACGGAGTCCCAGCTCTTCGCCTCACCTTTTCAGGATCCCAATTGACAACAGGCAGTTTGTGTCATTGAGGACACGACACAGCCTTGACAAGTGAAGGGGAGAAGGGCCAAGGGTCTGTGGAGAATCCAGAAGGTTGGAGGTTGGGTGGAATTAAAGGAAGAGATAATAGCCCAGGGTTTCAAGATTGTCTGAAAACCAAGTTGAGTGTGGAGAGGGTGGGGGATATAGTAGTTCAGGAATGAAAGAAAGGTCTGGATGGACAAATGTTGGGATCTGGAGATGGGCGAGCAGCACAGGGGCAGCAGGATGGAAGGCAGGATTCTGTGGTGAAGATCTGACCACCTGGCACCACATTCTCCCTGCACTGGTGGCAGTCAATATGCTGGCATCCCTTGGCAGCAGAGGGTTTGCTTCCTAACTGGGGCATAAGCTGAGGTTTTTCTTAGGACCATCTGTATTGATAAAAACTGGGCTGTTTTTGCCTCTTCTGAGAGATGTGGAATGTACATTGATGACCTTTCTTAAGTTCGTGGGAACAAATATCTTTCTTTGTTGAAGCTGAAGTTTAGGAGCAGCGGGTGCCCTTTTGGACTGGCTCTTAACATTCCCTTTCCTCACTGCTTTAGCACAGCCACTCGCCTTCACTTGGGCCTCAGAGAATTGGTCAGCCTCTCCTGGCCTTAAATGTGGCAGTTGTTCTCTAATTTGCAGGTGCAGCCGGGTGTGTGGCAACATTACTTCATGATGCAGCCATGAATCCGGTGGAAGGTAATGATTCTTCAACCTATCTCTCTGGGTAGCTGCAGCTGCCTGTCTGGGTTTTTCCTTTATTTCTGTTTACAGAAAAAAAGCAAGAGAGCATTTCAATTTTGGTGGGAAATCCTCCCATGTTACTTTATTTTACCACCAGAGGGCGCTAACTCCATATTTTTAGGAAACATTCATTGAGATTTAATCCATCTTTGGGGCTTCCCTGCAGAAGAGATACCTCTCTATATGCTTATCCCTGGGCTTTTCTGGAAGTCCCTTTTGTAGTAAATTTGATCTCTTCTGAAAGTTTAGCAGATTATTTAATTTTTCTTCAAAGAGGTGAAGATGGATTCTGACATTTAAAATTCTTACCTTTCTTCTTGGAAGGAAGAACATAGTTGAGATAGGAATGAAAGATTAAATTGTAGAGCTCAGTCTCTGCATTTCTACCTGGCTCTTGGCTTCTCAGTTTGAGGGAAATTCTCCAAAAACTGCACTGAGAGCAAGAGATAATTAGACAAATAAGAGAGGATAGCATAGTTCCAGTTCTTTGTCTGGACAAGGCCATGCGTGGGTAAGGGCCAAACCTAAGCTGGAGACTGACAGAACTCACACCATGTTGTCCACTTGAGGAAGTGGAAGATGTCTGGAAACTAAATCCTGACTCTTTTTGGCTAAGAATCTTGTTTTCTTTTTGGTAGTACTTTTCCTTCCTCCCCTCAGGGAGAGTAACCATCCTCATGTTTAAAGAGTAAGATGCTCCTCATACCTGAGGATTAGGATTGTTGGTGTTCTGTGTTCATCATTACATCACTGCCACTGAGTCGTTCCTTGCTAGACTTGTGAAAGGTCAAGATTCTGATAGATACATACCCATTCCAAGGAGACCCTCTAGAGGTATTAAGCCATAGATATATCCTGTGTTCTAACTGGCTGGTTTTAAAGAAATCCTGCTGGGAGTGGGCCCATTATTTTTTGACCCTTTGCCAAGGCTTTGCCTACCTCCTGGCCTCAAGAGGGAAACATGAACTTATCCTGTTAACTGGTAGTTAGTTCATTTATACTGTCTTCTCTCTCCATTCCATTGGCTGATCTGCTGATTTGGAACCCTGAATCTGGATACTCTTGGTCACCGGCTGTTTGCTGTCTCCATTTTCCTTCCTTGTTGATGGCACTCCCAGTGGTCAAGCAGAGGATGCAGATGTACAACTCACCATACCACCGGGTGACAGACTGTGTACGGGCAGTGTGGCAAAATGAAGGGGCTGGAGCCTTTTACCGCAGCTACACCACCCAGCTAGCCATGAACGTTCCCTTCCAAGCCATCCACTTCATGACCTATGAATTCCTGCAGGAGCACTTTAACCCCCAGAGACGGTACAACCCCAGCTCCCATGTCCTTTCCGGAGCCTGTGCAGGAGCTGTAGCTGCCGCTGCCACAACCCCACTGGACGTTTGCAAAACACTGCTCAATACCCAGGAATCCCTGGCTTTGAACTCAAACATTACAGGACACATCACAGGCATGGCTAGTGCCTTCAGGACGGTATATCAAGTAGGCGGGGTGACCGCATACTTCCGAGGGGTGCAGGCACGAGTAATTTACCAGATCCCCTCCACAGCCATCGCATGGTCTGTGTATGAGTTCTTCAAATACCTGATCACTAAACGGCAAGAAGAGTGGAGAGCCGGCAAGTGAAGGAGCACTGTGTGCAGCCAGGGGTAGACAGCACTGCTGCGGCCTGTCCCCTCCAGCCGTGTTCTGCCTCCTGGCACACTCCAGCCTTGAGTGGAGTTGGGAGGAAGGGAGAGGGCTCTCCCTGGCCTCTCAGTGTTGTGGCTAACACCAGTTCCCGCCAGCCTTGTTGCCTCACCACCTCTCCTCCCAGGCCTTGGGCGAGTACAGCAGAGCACCCCTTAGCACTTCTGTCAACCTCCGTCATGGGCCTGGTGACCCGCTCTAGACTGTTATAGAGGGCTAAGCAGCACATTCCCCTGGTTCCTAATAAAAAGCCTTTAAATGAAATGGTTTTGTTGGGTTTGTCTTGTCAAAGGGGAAGTGAAATGCTGTCAGCTGTTCTTTACTTGGCTTGAAGCATAAATCAGGGAACCCAAAAGGTTTATTGAAGATGGCTGTAAGTTTTTGTTTCTGCTGACGTTCATGATGGTTTCAGTCTCCCCATCACCTTGAACACTGGGCCTTTGACAGACCCTAACTCGGCATGAGTTGCCTCGTGTTCCCACCAGTGCCTCTTCCCTTGGGCAGCAGTGGGCACAGCAGAGTTGATTTTTCTGCTCCAATTCTGAGCTCTGCCTGAGCAGTGGAACTTTGCACTCAGCCCTTTGTTTTCTGATGTAGTTTTGAAATTAAAATTATTCAGTGAAACTGCAAGTCCTGGAGATTGTGTGAGCAATAACACATTTTGTTTGACTTTAAGGTTTTTACCAAGTACTTGAACACATGTGATCACATCTGGTTCTCACGAATTAGTGAAGCAGGTGGTGCAACTGTCATGTCTGCATTATGGGATGGAAGCGCCGAAAAGCTGTGACTTCCCTGAGACCTCACAGTAAGTGTAGAATAGAGGCCCCAGCCCATTTTTTTTTTTTTTTTTTGCCCCAGAATTGAACCCAACTGTGGAAGACAGGAAGTGAGCTGAGGCGTGATCCCCAACATGCAGGTTACTGAAGAAGCTTCCTGCTGATGTCCACCAGGGCTCTTCCTGGAGACCTTCAGAGGTGGGGCTTTCACAGTTATGTGGGTCAGGCTGTCCCTTTTCTGGCTACCACTAGTTACTAGCAAGTTCTTCAGGACACAGAACAGGCATCTAGCCCCTGAAATTCCCACCTATCCTCCTTGTTATGTCATCTGCTCACTCATTCAGTAACTACTGAGGGTCTCTGGGTCAGGTACTAGAGTTGGGGATACAATGATAAATAAAGCAATCCTGGCCCTCAGGGAGCTTATTGTCTGGAGAGAAAGATGCATGTAAACAGGCAGTTGTAAGATCAAACTATGAGACAAATGATGGGATAGACCTAGGATACACTTAGAGGGGGATACCAACCCAGCCTTGGGTGACAGCTTTTGGAAGAGGTGACATCTCTGGTCACATCCAATGGGATGAAGAGGGGAGGAGAGATATTCTAGTAAACGACCTGGAAGTGGGACTGTAAAGTGTTTGCGGTCCTGTGGGCAAGTGGTTCAGTAGGACTGCAACAATGTGGGCAAGGCTTGCAGCTAGACAGCTAAGCAGGTGCTGGGTCTTAAAGCAATGCTAAGGAGTTCAGGGTTTATCCTGAAAGCGATGCAGAAGCATTACAGGGGTTTAAGCAGAGGCAGGGTGTGATCAGATTTGCCATTTAAACAGATCACTTAGGCTCTCTGGAGAAAGGATTAGAGGAGCAAGACTGGGCAGGCAGGTTAAGAGGCTGCTGCACTAATCCAGGCAACTGCATGGTGGTCTGGGCCAGGACTGGCAAGGAGACTGGAACCGTGTTAGGGTTGTAGGAGCAATAGGATTTGGTTACAGAATAAATCTTGTCCTCCTTCCATCTGACAGCCCTTCAAGTATCTATGGAGAATCATGTCTGAAAGCACTTGGAAAAAAAAAAAAAACTGTCAAGGAAACTGCAGAGGCTCCTGTTCTCAACTTTATTCCAGTAAGCTAGGCTGCCCATCTGATTTGGTGATGGAAAGGAAAGACGTTAATAGTGTTGAACGGTGATACTGGAGTTTGGGTCCCTGTGGAGAAAAAAAAAGTGTGATACCACTGTAGAGGCAATTTCAGAGGGTCTGCAAGTGAAAAAATGTAAGTGGGAAGCTGCCTCCGGGTGGGTGTGGACTAGGCAGGAGAACAAAGGATGATTCTCTAGACCATGTTCTTGCAGTCGACTTCACAGAACTACTGTTTGGCATGGTATCCAGCACAAAATAGGCATCATGGCAATAAAGCTCATTTTTCAAGAGGAGGATGTGGAGAAATTTTTTTTTTGTACTAGGGATTAAACCCAGGGGCACTGAATCAATAAGCCACATCCCCAGCCCTTTTTGTATTTTATTTAGAGACAGGGTCTCACTGAGTTGCTTAGGGCCTCGCTACATTGCTAAGGGTAGCTTTGAACTTGAGATCCTCCTGCCTCAGCTTCCCGAGCCTTTGGGATTACAGGCATGTGCCACTATACCTAGCATGGGGTAATTTTTGAAAGAATGGTAGCTGTTGAAGACTCCCTCAGGCTCTGCACAGTAGTTCACACCTGTAATCCCAGCAACTCAGGAAGCTGAGGCAGGAGGATCTTATAAGTTCAAGGTCAGTCCCCACAATTTAGCAAGGCCCTATGCGACTTAGTGAGACTGTCAAAAAAAAAAAAAAAAAGGCTGGGGATGAAGCTCAGTAGTAAAGCTCCCTAGATTAAATCTACAGTACCTAAATAAATAAATACCCACTCAGCCCTACCACTGCTCACAAATGAGAAAAGAATCCAGAGTGACCTTCCAACCTCCAATTATGCTCTAGCTACCAGAGGACATCTAGTTTGGAATGGGGGTGAGGTAGGAGGAGGCATTAGGTTCTGCAGGTCTCTTGGTCCAAGTCATTAGAGGAGATAGATGCAGAATACTTGACAGGGCTGCAGTCTAGAGTGCCAGTGACTGGATACCTGGGTCACTTTATGGGGGCTCATCATACCCAGGAGAGCTGTGGGTGTTTGGTGGCCTCCTAGAGCCAGAGCCTTTCCAGAAAGCCAGGTAGCTTGTTGTTACCTTGAGGATCCAGTACCAAGATATCATTAAAGGGCCAATTTAGAGAAAATAACTTACAGTTTCCCCAGAGAAAGCTCTTTTTAGTGAATGAAACAATCTCATAACAACACAAGTCAGTATCTGGCTATACGCTGGATTATACAGAAACAACAATGAATTTTAGAGACAGAAAAGGAAAAGTATAGATCAGATGAACAGAGAAGAGGGTGATTTTGATGAATAGCAGAATAAAAAGTACTTTTGCGAAAGTAAAGTTGAATCATGTTAATTTTACAAAATTTCAGAAAATATAGATGAAAAGAAAACACTTCCAACCCCATCACCCAGAGAATATGACTTTTTTTTTTTTTTTTGGCAGATTGTAGATTTTTTTTTTTTTTATGAGATTGAACCCAGGAACTTGTACACATTAGACAAGTGCTCTGAGCCATATCCTCAGCCTAGACAGGACATTTTTGATGTACACATCATCTGGTATTTTTATGCATAAATACTTTCTGTTAATTTTCAAAAATAAGATCTCACTGTAACCCGCTTTCTTCACATAATAAACTGTGGTGTTCATCTTTCCATATTGCTAAATTTCCTTCCACCACTTTAATTGTAAATGGCCATACCACATCCCATGATATGAATGTTCGATGATACATTATTCTCTCAAGTCCCCTGGTGCACCTTTATAATAATTTATTATCAGAAACATTGCTGTGGTAGGTAGGATCTGAATAATCAAAGAGTATTAAATTTAGACAAAAGGTTCAGAGTAGGGAGATGATTTGGCTGAAGAGATCTTACCTGAGACCAGGATACAGGTAACAGGTTGGTGGGGCTGAGCCTGGCCAATGAGAATGTCAGGGCTGGGAGACACCTTAAATGTCATCTGGCTTCCCATGCTTTCTGGAGCCCTGCTTCGATTCTATAGCAACGCTGACAGGTTCACCAGCCCCTGCTCCAGCGTTTGGGAACCCACTGTTATGTAAGGCCATCCACATCATTGCTACCATCTCTTAGAAAGTCCATGGAGTCCTGCTTTACTCGGGGATCATGCCACTAGCCTGCTTCTTTTGCCTTGGGGAAAAGAGCCAAATTCTTCATCATGGCCCAAAGCACTTTATATAAGGAGGCTGTAGCCTCTCCGACCCCAACCTGCCACCTAATGGTGAGGCATTAAACACAAACACCTATTTTCTCCAAGATCAAAGTCCTTCCTTCTGTTATCTTCATTCATTAATTTAGGAGACTTGCTAGGTCTGTCTAAACTGTCAGAAACTTCACACAAGACGTTTAGACTGGTCGTGCATTATCGTGCTATTTCCTGCTACTTTAGACTGTTCATGGAGAACACATCTCACAGGAGCTGTACAGTATTTCAAGCATTGTCAGAGCCCCATAAACACAACCTGACACCCCCATCACCATCACCACCCCTGCCACCCACCTTCACTTCACACACTTAAAATCAAGGAGAATGTTTCTTTATAAATTGAGGCACTTAAGTGTGTCTGTAATTTCCATCTCTGATGGCACCTTCTGCCTGCCGGGGCAGTGCAGAAGCAGAGTAATCCTTCTTCTCTCTGACAGCCCTTCAAAAATATTAAGATGGCTGTCATGTCCCTAGGGAGGGGTCAGAGCACAGAGCACAGACAGAGGAGTTTAGACTTGACTTGGCAACTCATGAGAGCTCTCGTGGTTCCTGAGCAGGGAGAGACTTAATGTCTGAGGATGATTCAACCTATAGCCCAGACACAGGACAGTCGGAGACATTTACTCGTCTGAGGGGCTATTGTCAACATCAAGACAAAGATGAACCTGAGAAAAAAATGTTACAAGATGAAAGTCACTTGCTGATTTAGACACTCATGTGGGAAGATACCAGTTAGTTATCTAGCACTCATCTGGCTGTGTTTTGCCTTCTTGGTTAGACTGGGGCCCAGAATCCTGCCTTTCTGGTATGACCTTCAGATGGAATGGTCACAGTCTGGTATGATCACAGTCCTCACAACAGGTGCCGATAACTACTTTCTCACCATGGACTGGTTGTGGCCAGACACCAAGATTTGTCTGCGAAAATGATGATACTGAGCTAGGCGTGAGCCATATCACTTCACAAACATGTATTGAACAGAGACGGCCATTGGGGTAAATGCTGGGCCTATGTCAATTTTATATGTTAACATGGAGAGGCTATTGTGAGGCTCTTGTCTCCAGTTATTCAAACACAATCTAGGTGTTGTTGTCACTTTGATGATGATGAAACCCAAAGC